AACTTCACTTGCTCCACCTCCTTAAGGCCACACCAATTTAATTTGTTGGTTCTCAGATTTTTTCAATAGAATTATGAAGCGACAGGGCGAAAAAAAATAAAAACAGGTCTAGGCATCCTATTATAGTCCCAAATACTACAATTTGAGTCAACAGTCAACACAAAAGGCTGGGATAATATTTAAACAACGAATTTTGAACTTTTAATCAAACCAATACTTTGATAGATTGAAAAACTGCAACAACTAGGAAGAAAATACCTTTCCTCAACTGTTGGGAGCAAAATATGAGCATTTTTTAGTTAAGAACCAGAATATTTTTTGCAAATCAGAAAAAAAATGAAGAGGCGAGAACCAACAAATTAAATTGGTATGGCCTAAGAGGAAGACTGATGATGTTGTTGGTCTGTGTCATTCCTTGCGGTATGAGTGAGTAGAGAGGCAGTTTAGACAATTCTGCAGTTGAACATGAAGAAGAAATGGATCATGGCATCTGTCCTTGGTGCTGAAAATGTTCTCATGAAGAACACATTCCCCACACTATGGAGAAATGGTCAGCTCATCACTACTAGAATGATGATGAAACATTGTATCAAAGTAGGCAGGAACATCCCAGGAGAAAATATGACTGGAAACAGTTTGCACTAAAAAAAAGTGGATAACATCTTCAACAAATTCAACTCTATATTACTGAAACTCTACAACTACTGAAACTACAGTACATGTACTTTTCAATATGCAAACTCTTGTAACAAAAAAGTTTCAACGTGCCATTTAGCTGGGCTTCCTACAACGTACAGAGCTATACAGAACAAGGTCCTCCTTCAGGATGGCCTTCCGCAGGCAGTTGATGTACGGCTCAGATCGACGTGCTTTATAACAGTCGTGCTTTGCCACAAGGCATTTGATAAGTCTATCTCGTGTGTTTTGAGCAAATAGCCCGACTCTATCATCCACTTGATTTTGTGCAGCCGGCGTCTTTTCTTACAAGCTTTCACTCTTTTCCGGGTCTCTTTTCTTGTCTCTTTTCTGTCTCTTTTCATGTCCTGCAAGTGAAAAGAAGAAAAAACAAATTCAAATTGCATACCACAGTAAATATTATCATCACCTACAACCATCATGGAAAGACAAAATAACCTGGAGTGCCACAATCTTATTCCTCCACCAACAATTTCATTAACTACGCAAATGATATCCTAATTTTGCATGATTCTTGTCTAATGGTGTTTTGTTTCCCTCAACCCAAGTTTAATGTCATCCATATTTTCTCATTGATCATACAAATGTCCTTTTCCAAACAAGTCTAAGCATATGCGCATAGATGCCAGATTTATCTTTCCTATGCAGTGATTGGCTGATCCATATATAAGGAGATTGCGGGTTGAAGCAACAGACTCATCCCCAGACTGGTCATCTGCTGCTACAGATGTAGGTGGTCCAAGAGCCAGGTACTGCAGTAGCTCTCCAGTATTTGCCAGGCTATAACGAATTCGGACCCAGTGAAGGAGTGATCTGTTTGACTGTGCATTTGTGTGAGAGTTGTTGCATGTGCTTGTTTGTCTGTTTTTATTAGAATCTCCATTCATTCTCCATTTCACTATTGCCTCTTAAGTTAATAACATCCAAGTGTCAGAAAAATAATAAAATCATTATATTTCAGTCCATACCATACATGTAGGTATAGACCCAAACATGGTGCACCCAAAAAAATTTTCTGCACCCAATTTTTGGGTGCACCTATTCCCAAAATCAAATTTCGAGCCCTGGTTATGCTTTGACGCAGAACCATGCAGATTAAACAGAAAACGGTCTGTATTCATAACCCATTGAGAATTCCATTCTAGCGAGGTGAAAGAAAGTGTAGAACTTACATGTTGGTTAGGTTTAGATTTGGTGTTGACGGCTCCAGCTAGGCCTCTGCTCTTGAGATCACCGGAATGGGAAATGTCTTCATACGTGCTACCACTGTAGGGAGACAATAATTATCAAACAGCTGCAACCAATCATCTTAACCATTACGGCATTACATAAACACATAATTAAACAATCAGGAATGGGAATTGTCTTCATATGTGCTACATCTTTAGGGAGATAGAGACAATTGTAGCCTATTTAACTTTATTGCGACAATTGTATGGTACAACGTACATGGTACAATATATGGCAGTAAGACTGTATATAAGTTTGCAATATGGTCATGTATGAAGTATACAGAAATTGGCCTATGTATGCAGATATGGGATATGGACATGATAACAATATAAAGGAAGTATGAGAGGAGGAGACACCCACCCTCTCCTGGACTCCTCCATGGACTTCCCTCTTGTCTGTGTGAACATGTCAAACTCATCCTCCTCCCTGCCTGCTGTGTTCTGTGCTGTGAGGGTGGGCGTGGCATTCAGGGTGCTGCTGATGCTGGAACTGGTCAGACCTGTGGCCACAAATGAAAAATCAAACCACGTACAAGGTAACAACTTGGGGTCGTGTGGCGCAATGGCAGCGTGCGTGACTCAGAATCAAGAGGTCCCGGGTTCGAGTCCTGACATGCCACCGATCTTGTGCCCTTGGGAAAGGCACTTTACACGACTTTCCCCACTAGACTCAAGTGAAAATGAGTATTGTCTGTCCAGTATTCGTTTCTATGTGCGGGACACAACACCAGCAACAGCTGCCTCTGTTCCGCGTGTATTGCACTGTTGCAATTTCAATAAATCAAATCAAATCAAATAACAAACCAAAATCACAATCATTGAAAAAAATTCTGGCCTCCCCCCCAAATTTAAAAATCAGTATTATCATACATTCACTATGACAAAAATCTATCATTAAAAAAAACAAATACTGTAAGCATGCACACACATTTGTATCAGCCACCTGTTTTGTAACACACTGTAAGCATGCACAACCACACATACAGAAACACACACATCATGCAGATATGTATCAACTTAATACTTGTGAGAAAGAACTTGTTGCATACTAAATAAAGCTCTGAATAATCCGAGTATGCCAAATATATAGTTGGCAAATTTTCCAGATTATAACATGGGTTGCCAGACAAATTAGTCATGATCGGGATTCTAGCCAGCTCAAAATTTTTTTGTCAGCCCAGGTTCATGATTGGACCTGAGAAGAGAGTGCTTGCAATCTATGAGGGTCCGTGGGCAAAATTTGGATTTTTAAGTCTTTAAAAACACAATTTCTGCATTTTGAGAGGCAAATCATGGGGTTGAGAGTGTTTGTTGGTGGTCCTTTGGATGTATTTATATTTTACAAAAATTATTTGTCAATTTTGTCCATCATGGCTGATGAATTGGTTTAGAAATTTTTCTGTCACACGCCACAAAGTTCCTGCAATTTACAGAAAAACAGGTGCTGGCTAGAGCCCTGGTTACTAGTATGACTACAGACGTACTGAGGCCTGCTAGCTGCTGCTGTAACCCTGCTGCTGTAGGCTGGAGAGGGCCTCCCGGGCTCACGTCAGGACCCAGGTCTGTCTGCGACTCTGCACTCTGAGACTACAGCACACAACAACACAAAATTATCAGATAATTCATCTTCTTTGGTGGTATATATGATGAGGATGACCAATACCACAGAATGAGATTTGTTAACCCTTCCGCTGCGTGACGCCACGATCGTGGCTTCCTGTTTCACTGCGTGACGCCACGATCGTGGCTCTCCGGGGAGTGTTCCGGGTCAGTCCGGCTAAGCTTCGTGTATTTCCGTTAATCTCCGGCAGACTTCGGGGAAACTGCCTCGTTTTCATGTGCACAAGTCCACCATTGTTTTGGTTGCTGTTCGAGCGATTTTTACCGAGTTTTTTGGGGGATTTTTGGCATATTTTTTGTGCCGCCGCGATAAGCAACCTTGATATGCGAGGACACGAGGGATTGGATCGAAAGTGGTGATGACAGTTCTGGCAGATTTAAGGACAAAAGCGGCTCTGTTGAGTGAAATAGATTTGTTAATTTCTTGCAGCTGTGTGCATGTGCTTGTATTACTGTATACATACAGAAGGTCAAAGGCTTGAAGACTTTATAATCGGAAATGAACCACGAAATGGGCAGGAGTTGGTAGATTGCAGTTAGGGAGGGATTGGGGGAGTTTGAAAAGTATTTTGCTCCAGTCGTTTTCACATACAGACCTTCTAAAGTTTTTGGATTGATTTCTGCATACTTTGCATACTATAAGCTTTTGAAACAAGTGCAAAAAGTATAGTTTTACCTATTTATCTTCACTGTAAAGCATGTTAAAGTCTGAAATGATACTGCAGTCGTTGCGGGCAATTTTCCTCCATTTACACGAATTCCCTGCAACCACTAGAATTTTTATCCAGCAGTGGAAGGGTTAAAAGACCAGTTTACCTTTCACAGATTGCATGAGCTACATCTACTTATGTCACAGGGGGGACATTTTGAATAGACTACACCGTTCTAGAACCTGGAAGTTGAATGCAGCTTTCTAATGCGTTTGCGATGTCCCCCCTGGCAGATCACTGCAATGGTCGGCATTCTGCTCTCAGATACCAGAATCAGCTATCTGGTGAGATTGGGTGGAAGGAAACAGGGGACAGCCATCCTTCAGTAAAGTATCCATATGCTTAGACTCCTTGTACCAGTTCAGATCAGGAACTTTCAGAAATTAAAGTTACCCACGTCCAGAAATCTGCCAGGGGGGAGACCACATTGTGAAAGTCGGTTCTAGAACGGCGTTCTATCTGAAATGTCCCCGCGACGTATGCAGTTCATGGGATCTGGAAATTACATTAGCGGAGCATACATGAGAAAGAATAAACAATGGTGATTGTGGAAGTAAAGCCAAGACATAACTTGACACGTAAACAGAATGCATATCAAGACAAGACAGCATCAAAGTAAGAAACATGATAATAAAGAGCCCTTTCTTGTCTCCTCTCTTCATAGTTATCTGCCATCCACCTTCCGGCATGGCAACAGACATCTTTGCCCATTTTCGGCACTGTAAGAAGGCAACAAAATTTCTCATTTTTTATCTCCAACATCAGGCAAAAATTAATGCCTGCACTAATGTCATCCATAAAACTTACTTGCTGTGGCCTTAAGAGACCACTAGGAGTAGGATATTAGTAGTGATAAGTTGTTATAGAGGTTGACGGGCAAGCAGTACCAGGAGTTGGACTTACATGTGTTTCATCATCTTGTGTTTGTAGTTCATGTGTAAGTTTAATACTAATACAGATCTCCATGATCTGCTTGCTGGACTTCATCTGTTTGCTGAGTGCAGCGACTTGTTTCCTGAGCTCGTCCACCTGTCCAGCTGAGCTGTCCTGCTGTTCCCAGGCTGCTCCGGTCCTCCAGTGCTGTCTCCAGGCTGTGCAGCTGGAGTTCCCACCACTAACGCTCTGTTTTTCCTGCTTCAGACTCTCAATCTCAAGAAACCCTGATGGGCAGGACAGAAATGACACTTGGGTATTGGTTTGTTTCAATTACATGAAGACAAGTAAGGCCACACCGACTTAATTTTATGGACATCCTCTGAAGACCCCCAAACTAGTGCACGCGGGCGAATAAAAAAAAATTCCGGCAATAAATGAAAATGCTACCAAACCACAAGAATACGAAGCTGGTATTGTGAATTTGCGTCAGTACATAGAGATGTATACGAAAAGCCGGCACATGTTGGCTTTTTGTGGAATTTATGAATCAGCACTGTGCGTACGGTATGTACTGAGTTCTTTAGTCGTGGAGCTTCAGTAGCCTGGGTGCCCGGCTTCCGTATTGTCACTAACCACCATGGACTACCCAAGCCTAGATCCAGGCCATAGCCTCGGTGGACGTGATCTTTTTTTTTTTGAGAACAGGCGAAAATCAATGCGCACGCGGATGTCATCCATAAAATTAAGTCGGTGAAGCCTAAGTATACAAAATTACTATTGATGATTGTGAAGACAGTTAGTGACCAGGGTACAGTCAGTGTTCTCACCAGGATTTTTTCACAGCATAGGGGGCCAGATTGCGGGCGAAGCCGCACATCGAGCGGCGAAGGCGCGAGGGCGAGCGCCGCAGGCGCGAGTAATGTAGGGGGGTCCGGGGGCATCCTCCCCCGGAAAATTTTGAAATATATAACCCTCTGAAACACCATTTCCTGCATTTTGAGGGTCAAATTTTGAAAAAATTTTCACCTTTGTTAAAGCTTTTTTTAAGCCAAAATTTATTTTCAAATTCATGAAGGGTCATAATAAATGGAGTTACTTATGCTTGGTATAGGTCTTTGGCAAAATACTTTTTTTTATATTGTACAACTAAATATTTAGGAATCATTTTGACATGATTATAAATCTGTTATGCATGTTTCAATGTTTCAAAAAGGAAACTACAGGAGTACACTTGCATCATGTTTTAGAATTTGTTCTGATATTTTAACTTTGCGACACAGTCAAAATTGGCCCAAGCCTCGGCATAGTTCAAAGGGTTTCTTTCATCTGTCACTGACACAACATCGGCAGTCAGCAAGAGGTTCTTTGGTAAATACGCTGTGATTCCCCATGTCATTGGTAAATCATATTGGTAAAATGGTAGAATTACTTGATAATGAACTATATTACCGACGAAATCAAGAACATTTTGAGGGAAAACACAGTAAAAAGCGGCTTCCGTCCAGCTGTGTCAATTTCTAACATGTGTTGCGTGCGAGCCATCTTGGAAGAGTCTATTCTGTAAGCAGGGGGAAAGTTTCTTGGAAACAGTTCAAGCCCTTGTCAAATTATAAGAAATACGATATTTTGCAGGAACAACATGGCATAATTATATTTTGATGCCTAGATTTTGAATTTAAAATCTTATTGACAGATGTTGAAAGGTAGACAACATTACAGTTGAGACATCGTCCTCCTTGAAATGAACTTATCCAAAGCATGCCGCCCATGGCCAAGCGTTGTCCTGTTAGCGCTGTCTGTTTGATTACAGGTTCGCGATAGCGTGAACCTGTTTTACGTTACCTCGATTTTATGGGCGCCGCCATTTTGTTTCCCGTCATGCAATGGGGCAGGCCAAAGTTGAGTGAAGTGCATTGTGGGACCTGTCACCGGGCCATAGTGTAAGGACGACGCCTAGCGGTATGTTTGGAAAGAGCAGTAACTGAAAGCCTACCTGGTTGTGTGTTCATTTTGGCAGGAGTGAATAGAGGCGATGGCTTTGGCGTAATATACGCTGATTGTGTTTAGGACTTGCAATTGAAGTTCAATGTAATTTCTTCGCATGACGGAAGGAAACATGGCGGTACCTAAGGTTTTTTTTGGATGATGAGATGATGAGGCTTTGGTATT